TAGGTCTTTGTCTTTTTGTTCTTACAAACACTTTTAGGCCACCTTGTTTTCTTATGCCTTTAGTGTTTAATTGGGTTTTTGTAAAGGAAAAGCTCCATGAAGTAAAACTCCATAGAAAGTTTTTGCACCACTTAGGATGCCTCCCAGGGAAATTGTATCCTAGCATAAAATTATATCCCAGCTAATTATTCAATCTTACATTAGTGCTACAATGCAAACATTAGTCACTAGGGGTGCTAGACCTTTGAATTGCAGGTTTAGTCCCAAAGGTCACTGGCAGCCCTTAAAGTGCTTTTAGTATAGTGCTAGTAGTAGTAGTGTGGCCTTATCAACTCAGTTAACCTTATTATTTCTCTACAGTGGGGACATGCTTGTGTGAAAGCACAGTGTTGTGTAGTTTCTCATTAATATTCTCGTGAAGCCTGCCTTTGTGCAGTTGTACTTTGGGTTGGTTGTTTGGAGATGTTGTTTTCATGCTACTCCTCATTTGCCCCATTCTGCTAATTCGGTGAAAAATCCACCTGCTGCTTACCAATTCACATCAAAATCATATGGAATGCTGCCTATTAATACCTATCAAAACCTAAACTGCCTCTACCTACCACCATGCTGTCTAGTTTACCAGGCCCTTTTTGGCCTACACCCACCTTTACTGCCTTCCATCACCCTGTTCAGCCTACAAATAGCTTTTTATCTTCCACAGTTTTAATCCTGCCACCAGCCTGTTTTGCTTGAATCTCTAATTCAGTCAATGACTTCAACGTATGTTCAATAAATGTTTTAAGTACAACACTGTGCCTGTCTACTACTTAAAATTTCTTATTTTGAGGGTTGCTGGGGAGACAGAATTAAATGAACCATGTTCTCTAACTACCCTGTCACAGAGGTTCTAAGAATGCTCCATGGTGGCAAGACTTTGGGAAAGGAGAGATCTGCGTCACTACAGAAATATTTCAGACCAATGAAATGCAGTGACAAGTATGATGTCACTGTATCAATTATGGGTGGAGGACTCAACCCAAACAAACATGGCTCTGTTAAACAGATCTGGAATAGACTCCTTTTTATTTTTGAAAAACAAGCAGCAAGGTGTGATTTTTACCTTTGCAGTTGAGAAGATGTTTGCGTGTTCCTCATAGCCAGATTTGGTAAGAGTTGAATTCATCTGTTAACTCCATGAAACAGATCAAGAATGTCATATGCCATACGATCTTGTCAGGACTACTGTCTGTCCCTCGGTCCAGAGGATTGCTCTTGGGTCCCGGGATCGTACATCCTAGACCCCTTCCTCATAAGGGACTTCCGCCTCTCTCAGCCCTCCGGTTCCTCTGGACTGGCGGGTGGCGGTCGTTGAGGGGGGGTGCTGTCAGGACTCTTGTCTGTGTGTTTGTGCTTCTGTGTTTGTCTCCCTTCCTCCACCAGGAGGTGCCTGGTTCTGGTCCGACTCCTCACACACCTGCTGATGGTTTCCTCGTTAACAGAGTGTTCTTGAGCTGCTGACTGTCACTACCTCGACGCCAGAGTGTTTGCCAGTTTTGGGTACTCTAGCCAAGTTGAGTTTGGATGAGTCAAACTGAGTTCTTGTCAACCTGAGTTTTAAACAATTTTTTTGTCTTTGCCTCTCGGCAGGAAGTCATCCTGCAAACTGGATTTTTCGGACCTTCTCTCCCTCAAGGATCAACAGAGCTTCAAGCTGAGCTGGGGTTACAAACAGGAGGTTTGAACCCACTTTCCCCAAGAGAGCGTTTGAGCTTCACACTAGAGACTGACACGGGAGTGGATTTTCACTCCTGTCCCGTCCCACTCCCACAGAAAAAAATTGTGTCCC